GTTAGCTCAGCGCTACACATTCTCCTCTCGTCACTGAGGTCCTCCATCCACATGACAGAGAGGGGAACAAACAAGCTAACCTGTTGTCCTCCATCCATATTTTCAGTTCCAGGCTGAGTCATTTCTACCTTCTCCTCTCTGTCAACGCTCTCTGGTTTCATTTAAAAGAGTCGATCATCAGATATTGTCCAAGATTAACCTTCAGGGTGGATACAGCTCGCTAGCAGCCTCGCACCGAGGACCTATCCATGTCATCATTTACCCAGAATGCTTTGCGTGTAAATAAAATGGCTCCGTCTGTGTAAAACATTTTTAAAATTTAGTATAAGATTATAAAAACCAAGCAGCCTACAGTATTTTTACAGTCTTTACAGTTAAAATATATGTTTATCAAATAAAGTCTAATGTTACAACTAATCATGGATCCCTTTTAAAAACCAAATCAAGGTCCGTCACAATGAAGTTCTGTTGCCCTTGAGTCAAAATGACCCACGAGGCCTAGTGAAAATAACACGTRACTTACCTGTCATTGAAGAGGCTGGAGAACGCTGACTTGCTGTCGGACTTCTGGATGTCCTTCTTGCAGTGTTTGGTCTGAGTCGTTATCGTGGCTCTGTAGCTGGCGGACGCCTCAACTTCGAGGCACATCTGCACCTCGTCCACGCTGAGCCCCTGCAGGCTGGCCTGGCACTGACGGATGCTGGTGACGGACCGAATGTCTCCCCCGACGTTCACCTACGGCGGCACGAATTTTAAACACGTTTGAGATCGACGTCACTCTTTAAAACACAGCTGTTTGTCCCGTCGTCTTTCTGAGAGTCACCTTGGTGATGTAATGGGTGCCAAAGCTGTCGATCAGTTTGTAAAACTGCTGCTTGGTTTCTGGGCTGTAGACTTTGGGAAGACGTTGCACCGCTTTCCTGAATTCGTTGTGCAGCTTGGGAGAGTTGGACACTCTGTAGCTGATTTCAGAAAAAACAGACGGCAGAGAAAATACACGAGTCTGCTACTGAAATATGACATCACCTTTTCTCTATAGACAAAGTCATGAGCAGAGTTTTGAAGTAACTAAGTACAAATACTTTATTACTGTACTTAAGTAAAATTTTTGGGTATCTGTACTTTACTTGAGTAATTATTTTTCAGCGTACCTTTTACCTGTACTCCTTACATTAAAAAAAGACAAGAAGTAGAAAGTTAACTTTTTTTTTCATTTTTGCTTGTTTTCATTCCAGGTTGTTTATTATAATAAA